GTGTGCATGACTGCTGCTCACTTGAGCTACAGATATCCCGCTCTCCTGGGTTGGAAATAGTCCAGGCAGGGTCAAGCGTGCGTTGAGGAATCCTCAACACGTCGCAGGGGGGGGGGGTCGTATTGACCTGCTGGTTGGAAGAGATCGGGCCGGTTTGATGCAGTGGGATCATCACCGTCGGAGGACAAACATCAAGGATCGAGTCGATGCCAGGCCAGAGGATTTCCAATGAAGAATGATATTTCACCCACACAAAATTTTCGTGATTCTGAGGCGTCCGCGTAGTAATTCTTAGTTACTTCAGTGTTTTATCATCACACAAGTTAAAGAATCTGAAATTCGCACGCTTCCCAAGGGATATTTTATCTTTCAAGTGAGTCCTCGAATCTGAAGGGATGTGAAGTACACGGCGCATCCCAGAGTGGGTCCAGTTGTTGCGCGCGCTTCGATTACGGCTCCTTGGACAAACAATCTCAATTCCAGGAAAAATCGAGAGGACTGAAGTTCGTGCGCAATTCACAGGGAGATGTACCTACAATGCTTAACGAGTCTTCAGGGTTTTATTCAATCGAAACATGTAACCTTTAAGTTTGAAAAACGCTAATCAATTTTACTTTCTTAGAAAAGGAAAAGCAATGATTCCGAATCTGCTCTTACTTTAGTACATAATCGCCCTTAAAAGGATCTATAGCCGTTGAAATAGTGCCAATGTAGCGAAAAAGTACCTTTCGGCGGTACTCGTGCAAAATCCTCAACGTAGCCGTTTTTTAATACTGGACGTTTGGAGCAGTTCTAGTAAGCATTTGATAGAGCAAATCTTCTAGTTTATGATGGCGTATTTACTTTTCGGATTGGATGAGTTTGAACGGAGTTATGGCTTTAGGAAGTAAAAAACTCGCACTCATCACAAATTTTCCTCGTTAATTTTGCAAAAATCCTCAACGTGGCCATTTTTTGAATACTGGACGTATAGAAGCTGCTTTAGCAACGGTTTGGTAGAGAAAATCTTCTAGTTTTGTATGCCATATCAAACTTTTCGAATTTGACGAAAATGAAGCAAGTTATTGCTTCGGAAAGTGTAAAAACTCGTGCTCATCTCGAATTTTCCTCGTTAATTGATCTAAATTTGTTATTTCTTATAACTTTTTGTAATTTCAATACTGATTAGAAAAGCTCTTCACAAAACTTCCAAATCTGCTTTCAGATTGAAAATTCGTCATATTTGAAGAAAGTTATAATCATTTGAATATTTGTTCAAATTTCAATAGTAAAGCTGCTCCACGGTCAACGCCAAAGTCCAGTCAACACACAGCTGGCGAAGGCTTTTACAAGGCTTCCTTTGAGCGAAAGGGGGACGTGTAAATTGAGAACCATAATCTGTGTAGTACTAGAATTTGGTAAGTCTTGTGGAGGAAATAAATAAAGAACAGATGTTGTCATAGTATGCCATTTTTAGTGGCTAGTTTGTCGTTTTTGGTCTGTTTCTCGTTTGCTCGTTTGGTAGGACTCATCAATAATGATCATTCTTTGACTTTTTCACTTTTGTACTTCTTAAACGAATTTTTTTTGTGGACGGTGGGGTAGCGGCTTTTTTATGAGCAGTTTTGGGGGAGAATTAAACAACCTTTTCATAGTTCGGCTTTTGAAGAGGGTTGTTTCATGGACTTCGGCCTTCGGCAGAGGGAGGGGGGGTCGTATTTCCAAATTTTCCTCGACGCCTCGCTTGACCCTGTCCCAGACCATTGTAGAGACACCCATCGTTTTGACAACCAGAAAGGCGTCGAAGATGCAAACTAGAACGGACCACAAGTGGCGACGGCTCCAACAAAACGTAAAAGATGTTTCTCGCGATGAAATGATTAACCAGATAGTCACATTGTGTTGTTCTATCAGCTGTACCTTACAACCCACCTATTTAGCCTATCACTTTAAGATCTTGTTACGAAATTCCTTGCGCAAAGGGCGTGAGTGCGCTTATAAGTGTAGCGTCTGCCGTCGACGCCAGGTTTATTTCTAAAACAGGAGGTGACCATATCCTTGTGATCGCGAAACGGCATTCAAAATTTCTCTTATTTTATCGACATGGAAATTGATTGCTCGGCGCATGACGCATCCTAATAACTGGCCGGTCTTTGTCGTGAGACCAATTTTTATTCTTTTTTTTTTCAAGTGGATGCCATTGTTGTCAGTTTTTATAAGAGGTAAAGAGAAAGCTTAAAGCACATAAATTACCATTTTGTATTCTTTTTCCTGTACAATATGATCCGTAATGTACTCAATAGCGTCGATGGCACGAAGCGCATCAGGTGAAAGCGGATAGAACATCGCCGTGTCAGGATCTTGAGGAATGTCATTCGCACTATTCAGTACTTTCACTGAGGCAGTCCTTAAACAATGATTTTCACAGGGAACCAAAACATTCTTTCGGTAACCAAAGATATCAACACCTGTCGTCAGCACTCGGACACAATGGATGATGTGTTGCACGATTGAGAGTGAATTTGCCAACTCCTGGTAGCTGAGCGACAGCGACAGCTCGTTTTTTCCGGCTCATCAATTTCCGAGAAGCCGACTTCGGTCGTTGCATGCACATCAGAAATGGCATCCACTTGAAAAAAAAGAATAAAAATTAATCTCACGACAAGGAGCGGCCAGTTATTAGGATGCGTCATGCGCCAAGCAATCAATTTCCATTCAAATAAATAAAGGAATTTGAATGCCTATTCTGCATCGACAAGGATATGGTCACGCTCTGTTTTAGAAAACCGGAATGGCGTCGAGCGCAGACCGCACACTATAAGTGACGACGGCCTCAAGTGAATCTGTAACTAGTGATTCATAGTGATAGCTAATGGTTGGGTTGTAATTAGTGACAACTGATAGAATACAACTGCAACAGGCTAATCATTTCATTGGCAGAAAACATTTACATTTTGTGGAGGCCGTCGTCACTTGTGGTGTATGGTCTGCACCCGACGCTTTCTGGTTTTCTAAAACGGAGTGTTGTTCTCTCAAGACTGGAACCATTCAGCGATCGGAATTGGCAAAAAATCGCGTAAGCCTAGGCGCGTGCTGATTTGAGATTTAGTGCTCATTTGTTTTCAGTGGAGACAAAACTCGCTTCTAATAGAATTAGTTAAAGCCCAATCGGAATCCGCTTGAGACCCACTCTCTCCTTACTTCAATAGAATGACTGATTAGCAAATCGAATGAGACTTTTTATCGAGAAACAAATTTGTAAACGCAGGCTAAGAACTCATGACTTGCATCCATGCACATTTATGCATCTGTTCACGCCCACTGTTGCGGGTACGTTGGTGTCTGCATCTCGCTCGTCTAATGCCCTCTGATTAACGCGCTGTTTCCTTGCTTCAACGCTGACTGTCTTATAAATAGTCTCGAAGATTCTTTCACCTCTAACGAACGGAAACCTTATTTTCCGATTTTGTTTTGTTTGTCCTTCACTGATAGCCCATAGGCACGGATTTTTGCTTCCAAGCTCGATGACGAAATATCTAATTATGTTGTTGCTAAGCTAATTAGAGCCAGGGTGAATAACGGTTGAGGAAGTTCTCGAACATGACTATGTACTGTGTGAGAATAGTGTACACGCGGAGAGCAGAGACGGTTTGTGCCACTCTCCAGTGAATGGCCGCGCGGTAGAGCAAAGCTGAACAGACGAGAATTCTCGACCAGTCGTCGACAAATTCCCGACCGATTTTCGCTCTGAACGAAAATATTTGGGCCGTTGCAGAAAAATGTGCAGGGCTATGCACCAAAAATGTGGTGGTGGTTCAGTGGATCTATTAGATGGCTTGAATATTATGGAGTAACCGGTAGATTAGTTGGTACCTGAATGAATAGCAAAACCTTAAGTGGAACAGTTCAATAAAAAAGGGATAAATCATTAGTATTAGTACTATGCAATATTTACTATTAAGTACCATTATATTCATAATAGTATAAAACCCAGGCTTTGTTGCCGATGCTAGGAGGGTGAGCTCCATACCCCGCGTGTGCTTGACCACTTGCTGTTGTGCCTCAAAGTGATCACGAAAATGTACTACCTTTTGAAGGATTACCAACAAAATTCAATAGACCAGTACAGATGATTTGGTCGGCGGGACGCAGTGAAATTCTTACCTCTAGAAAGACCATTCGTCACCCATTCTGGCATGCGGTGCGTCGTTGGACTGCGGAAATAAACATTGATAATAACAATCGTAATCAAAATTGTGATTACGTTGAGCACAAAAGTTAGCAATAAATACCTGAAAGAACAGGGCAGTGAAGTTTATGTTAGCCCCAGATTTAAATATTTGACCTAAGGTCCTGTAAAATTAAATAGGCAAATCCTGTGATTTCTGGAGTACTAGGACGTCTTTCCCGCAAATGGAGCAGGGGCGAGACCTATGTGCAGAAGTGGCGGGGCGTTCTGAGAGGTTTAGGCGCTAGGAGCCTAGATTGCATTGGCGCCGCCCCAACCCCATTGAGCGTCCAACGTGATCTTCCAGACAACCACCTGGGACTCTAGATGTTATACCGTTGCTTGGAAATTCGTAGGGGGATATTTAGCGTGTTTCAGCTGCGAGAATCAATCAAAAGCCTATGTTACGACATTTTTCGAACGTTGTCATGATTCTAGTGAGAAGAAAAAATTTTAAGATAGGAAGCAAACAAAAAAAGCACAGAAAAATAGAAAAAATAGGGAAACTAGAAAAAAATCAGTTTTCATTGCTGGATTTTTGTGGCCGTGTCGGTTGATGGCACAAAGCCAACAGTTGCTGTAGACATGTCCAAACACGAAATTTTCCCAGCCCTGCTTCGTAAGCGACTAGCGAAGAGGAATTTCCAATTTTGGGGTTCTCTTTGGAAGGTAATTTCTGTCTTTCCTGAACCCATTGATTAACTGCAGCCAAACTCATCATGCTCGAAAGGTGGTCCTTCGTTTTATCAAGGAGTTTGCCTTAAGATAATCACTTCATGGTCGCCATTGGCAAATTTCAAAATCAGCACGACAGCTTTTGGGGGAGAGCCATCAAGGACCCTCTCCTCCTTTCAAGAACCCTCCCTAGGTATAATGCAACTCGATCGCTGGAAAAATAAAAAGTATTTCAACAAATATTACCCCTTCCTTCACAAATAGCCGAATATGAACCATCGCCTCCCCAACTGACAGTCTAAAGGACATCTCTCACGGACCCACGGCAGTGGGCGCTACCGAAGTGCGCTTCTTGCGGACGTAGAATGCATGGTAGGTACGGATCCATGTTCATGGGAAGTTTTGAAGTGAATCCTGTTTACGTTCGTGCGTTCGACACGTGGATCCGTACCACCATGCATATTCGTTGTCACAAAAACTTCCGGTCCCGCCCACTGGTCCATGGTCCGTGGGAAGATTCCTTTAACTCTTAGTAGCCTACAAGAGGCCTTCGCCGAGATTACTTAAACCGAAGCACAGGAAGAAAGCACAAAAGAAAACAACTCTGAATCTCCACACGATTGTTAGAATATCGCCAGTTCTTCACCATCTCACGCATTTCCATGACCATCAACCATTGGTCAATCAGTTATTGATTACAAAGAGAGCTGCGACGAATGCCCATAGGAGGGACACCTCATAATTCTCAAGATTTTCTCAGTATCTAGCACAACGGCCCGCGAACCTCGGGTACTTTGGACATGTCAATCGGATACCGATAAACCGACAAAGTATTACCGTGAGAGATCCCGATAATGAGTGGCTCAACATAATTCCCACGCTTACCCGAACCTTGTTTTTGGCAAAGATGCGGTTCTGCGACATTATGCGCTTTTCAGCTGTGACATCGTATGGTGGGAAAGTGAGTGTTTAATTCACCTATCCAGAAATAAGCCCTCAAATTGTTCCGATTCCCTCTCAAATCACTAATTTTCTTCGAACTTCATGAAGAAGTTGTGGAGGAAAAGGACGAAATTATTGCAGAATTACTGGTTTCATTGACCCACTAATTGTTATGTCTCTGTTTGAAGGCGGAATTCGCGATCAGAAGGCAGCCCATCAGAATCAAGGTAGAGGTGGTAAGTGCTGCCAGGATGAGGAAAAAATCCTGAGCTTACTTTGCCATCAGCGGAATCGTACTGGATGTAGGCGGAAGGATTTTTGACACGAGCAGAAGGAATACGACGATTGAAAGCATAACGGAGATTGTTAGCGTCATTTTTTCGCCTGAATTGGCACTTTGACATATTTTATAAATTACAGCACTTACCATCTACACGTTCAAGCACTAGTTTTTGGACTAGGAAGTGAGTACATGGAGCAGCCTGAAGCGGTAGCACTTATCCCGAAAGCAGTACCCCTTATCTAAAATGCGCGCTAAGTGTATGTTAGCACCGCAGCATTTATAGAGGTTGGCTTTCAAACCCGCTGCATAACTTCGAAATCCATCCCAGCGCCTTTTGAAAACCAGTAACAATCCTCGTTCTGGATTATTCCGGTTGTTTGAAAGCGGCCGAAATGAGAAACCAAGCCCTATTGAAGAAAAAACATTAGTCGAGCTATCACTGTGCTGATGGTGGTGTAATGACAAGTAGCGCAACTTCCCGCAAGATCAGTTTCACAAGATTGGTTTTAGAGTATTGGATCGCCTAGCTAACCAATCCCTTCATCCCTTCGAGGTTGGTTAGTTGGTACCAGACATGTTCGAGAGGACAGAATGCTTCCGACTGGCCCGGGTAATTCATTGAATATGCTTCGTTCCAAAGCCACTAGGAATCTGAATGGAAGGAGAATGCGTGGCGCACCCCAAAAGAGATTGATAAACGCCGGAAGCTCAATCTTTTTCACTACTGCTGGTATACGAAAAGTCTAAGTAGAACGACCAGTGAGAGACTGTTCGAATACCTATACGGTAAAAAGAACACCGCCA